ATGTTGAACCCTTTCGAAGCACAGTTGGCTTATGTATGGATGTGTTGGAATGTATGATGTTTATATATGAATGTGTTGGAATGTATGATGTTTATGTTGATTGATATAAGTGATGCTTATGAATGTTTTGTTATGCATGAAGGGATCCATGCTTTTGATTTGTGAACCATGTTGGTTGTAAAACTTAGTATCACATACTTTGTGTCAAAGTACGCATGTGAAGCTCTGAGTTGGAGTATAAGGGTACGTCAGCGTAGACCAAGTGTTCCAATGCTAGGAACGCAAAAGACTCAGAAGAAGTTGTCTGAATTCCCTCTTCTTTAAATATTTGCCGAAATGGCTTGTGTGACAAAAGATCTTAAGCGGTTGAGAGTCAAAACATTTGTAATGTGTATGCCTTCTTATAATAACATTTCCTTCAGTACCTAGTCCTCCACTTTGAAAGAGTGAGGTTTTGCCCCATAGTCATAATAGTCGACTGTACGTTCACCCCTGGTTGTCTTGATACGAACTTTTATCCCTCTTGTTGTAATAGGCTTGCTGAGAGTAAAAATCATTCCTCTTACCAAGAGACATATACGTTTGGTGACTTAACGAGTAGCTAAATGAGGCAGGAGATGATGCAATGGGTGTCTGAATGGCCAATATCTCCTCACTTGGTAGAAGTTGACTTCCACTTCCCACTTGTTGATAGGGGTTAACCATATAGGGGTTCCTTTGGTATGTCCTTGCTTCGGTGAAAGCGTGGTTGTAAGCATATGCCATCACCTCAGAGTAAGTCTTCCAAGTGTTGGCATTGATCATGTACTTGAAGAAACAATCACGTAGGCATGCCGTGAAGGCCTTGAGGGCGGTCTTGTCATCTGCCTCAGCACAGCGAGAATACTCATGGCTGAAGCGACCGGCATACTCTCGTAGTGACTTGTCCGGCTTCTGGCGAATAGTGTACAAGTCATCTGCATAATGCAAGCGATCGATCTGGAAGATGTGTTGAGAGACAAACAGTTTCCTCAGTTCCTCAAATGAGTCTACTGTCTAAGGTGGAAGACGGCAATGCCAGTTTAGAGCTCCGCTAGAGAGGGTGGAGAGGAAGAGAAGACATCATTCTTCGTCGGTGTGCATCCGATATGCCATGGTGGACTCAAAGAGGTTAAGGTGTTCAATTGGGTCCTCCCTTCCAGTATAGAGTTGTAAACCAAACTTTTGTTTTGTCTTCACTAGAAGAGGGTGTCGAGGATCCTTCTTGTGAGAGGGCCAGGCCTGGGTTGGTTCCAATCAGGTATCTCGGCCTGACGTTCAGCCTTCAACTTGTTTACTTCCTCAATGAGTTGTAGGACAAGGAGGTCCTGAGTGGAGTCATGTACCGCTGGAATTTTCTTTCGTAAGTCTCCATCGCCTCTTGGAAGTAGGAAAGTTTAAGCAAGGGCGTGTGGTTTTTTCTTGGACGAGCCATACTGACTTCTAGGGCGAGTCTGTCGGAATACCTCAGAGTCCCCTATACCTTCATGTTCTTCTGGGACCTGTCGTTCCTTCCCTAGATTGGCAGCTGGCCTGGGTCGTGGGAAGGGACCGAGTCTTTCAGAAACCCTTGGGTCATTGATCTTCGAGCATATGTGGATGGGATTCTCTCGACGTTGCTTTAGGAAGTCTCGGCAGTCACAATAAACATATTTCAATCATTCCAACCCTTCTGCAAGGAGGTGTCTTCCTCCACTTATTCTGCTTCGGGTCGAAGCATCTGGGTTGAGAGAAGTCTCATGTTGATCAATGTTTTGATGATTAGCTCGCTCCTCATTAGGGATACCCATGTCGAAGAGAGGTGACCCTCCGTGTTGGAGGCACCTAGATGATGGTTGATGTCCACAGAGGCAACGAGCTCGCGTGTTTGAGTACGCCTAGTTTCGTGGAGCGTCTCAAAGAGCTTGTCATACTACTCCTGGAGGACCTCATTCTTCATTGTTATCTTATTGTTTTGAGCTTCTAACTCATCGACTTTAGCTTTAAGAACAACCTTCTTTCCTTCATTTTTTTCGTTTCTTCGTACTAAGTGCAAAAGGGGTTTCATTTTGTGCGTTGTGGCTTCCTTCGCTCTCTATGGTAGAGAGGGATGTCTGGTCAAAAGAGAGTACGAATGGTGGAAACCAGCTTGATAAAGCTGAAGATAGTAGGAATAAGTGTCATTCTCACAGACGGCACCAAATGTTGATGCACAAAATCAGTTAGGACTTTAGTACAATAGAAAGTGTTAAGTTTGTGACCTTCGCTAGATTGCTCCGGTCACTAGTGTGGATAAGTATATAAATGGATAGGGACAGGGAAGCAAACACAAGATGTACGTGGTTCACCCAGATTGGCTACGTCCACGGAGTATAGGAGTTCTCATTAATTGTGAAGGGTTTACACAAGTACATAGGTCAAGCTCTCATTTGGTGAGTACTAGTGAATAATTTAGTACAAATGACATTAGGAAATATTGTGAGAGAATGATCTCTATTTATAGAAGAGAGTTTCTAGTTTCATTCTGACATTAACACGTGTTGTGTTGTGATTGGCTTCTGATGTTAACACGTGTCGCGCTATGATTGGCTTCTGATGTCGACACGTGTTGCGCAGTGATTGGCCTCCTGGTTGGAGGGAAACTCTTCTGGGTCCTTGACAGTATAACGTTAACCAGTGCTCAGTAGTTTCGGGATTGGTCAAGTATGGTACAAACAAATTTTATATTATTTCTTTTAGTGTTCTAGTTAGTTGTCGTACCCAGTGCACAAGGCTCCCAGACCCTGCGTAAAGCGGGAGCCTTGTGCACTGGGTACGACCTTTTAGTGTTCTAGTTAGTTGTATGCTTTGACACGTTCCTTAAATGCATATTCTTTATTCTTTTATATTTATAAGTCTTATCTATTCCTTATTTTCAGCATTTGCACTCAATAAATGGCTTTCGTCACCCTCGGGTGTCAGCCAGCACGTGTCTATCCTGGTATTCAGGGAATATCGGGATCGGGGCGTGTCGCTCTGATACCAAATTGTCACATCCCAGCCCAGGCCCCCACCACATCCTAGGCTCAACTCCGCCGTAGCACGATATTATCCGCTTTGGGCTCCGACCACGCCCTCACGGTTTTGTTTCTGGGAACTCACACGAGAACTTCTCAGTAGGTCACTCATTATGGGATTACTCTCACGCGAACTCGCTTAATTTCGGAGTTCTGACGAAACCCGAAACCAGTGAATTCCCAAAAGGCCTCGTGCTAGGTAGAGATGAGAATATACATATAAGGCTTACAAAATTCAGCCCTAGGCGATGTAGAATGTTACATATACTGTGTTAAATAAGCAGACTAATTAAATTAATCTGGCACTTATTTAACACGAGTGAACGCCAAAAGACTGAGTCCGTATAACTAGTCCTATCCAATTTTTATACGATGTGCCAAAGAAGACCTAAGGCGCCATACGTTAGAGGAATCTAATCGCACGTTTTTAATCAACATCAATTGTCATCAAATCGCACAACCAACAAAATTTTATGAAACACAAAAGGCCCACAAATTAATTAATACTAAACCAACATGCAATAGGATCCTCTCCGGATATGAAGATGTCAGAAATTTATGAATCGTATTAGTTTATTGTATATCGCACGATCAATTTTTGTTAAGTATTATTTATGTTTAATTTTAGATAAAAATTTTAAAGTAATTTCTGATAATATTATATATAATGAACATACATAATTTACGAATTCTTGAAACCCTGGATTCGGATTCTCGAAATCCTCAAGGGGCTTCGGATTCAACTAACAGAAACCCTTACTTTCTTTCAACTTCTCTCAAAGCTGAAGTGTGTTGCTTTATGCATGTCTATCTGTCGCAAACCACGGGGGTCTGTACTCTGTAGACCTTTGCTCTACTTTTTATTCACCAAACGACAAAAACCAAATCAGTTTAAGAAAATGATAAATACTAAATTATTTTATAACATTAACACGACAGTTATACAAACAAAATAAAGTAACGCATGGATCATAAGAATAATAATCGCAAACTTTATAAAATCTCACCATCGCTTTAATTATCAAAGACTAATGTTTAATATATCCGTTCTGATTTCTTTTTATTTTACTATTATTAAAGAAAGGGCTCAAATTATTTTAATAATTTAAAAAAAAAAAAAAAAAAAAAGAGATTCGAACCAATACACATGATAAAGCTAACATTCTATTTACTAAGGAATTAAACTACATTCCCGTCTCCGTTTAATTTATTTAAACTAAACATTATGTTGGATGATTCTCACGTTTTATTATTTAAACAGAATATTATTAAAAAAAAGTGCTTTGGAAAAATATAAAAAATAAAAATAAGTGCTTTGGGAAAAAATTAAAAAAAAAAATAAGTGAGTGAGAAGGATAAAAATTATTATTTTTTCTTGGAACGTTCAATAGTACAAAATTAATGGTAAAATTAAATTGATAATTTATCAATCTATTAAAAATAAAGCCAGACTATACAATAATCGAAATATTAAATTTACTTGAAAATTACTTTCGAATTAATAATTAAGGTCACTACTCACATAAAATGAGTTAATTAAACGGCGCAGAGAGTCCTTAAACAAAGAAAGAAACACAACCATGCTTAAATCAAACATATTAAACTCAACGAATTAAATATAATTAATATATATCATTAGATCATAACAAAAGAATCTCCATAGTCATCATCATTAGCAACAGTAATGATGAAGTTAATAATAATAATTATAATTAATAATTAAGGCCGATGGAGTAATCATCTGCCGTAGAACCACCGTCCGATCAAATCAACACCGTCCAAATAATATCTCCATCACCAATAATAACCCACCTTATTGAAAAAAACTAAAAAACCAAAAATAGTAGTTAAATTCTACCCGCTAATATACGAAACTCAAGATCCGCCTGCTGCATCTCTCTCTCGGTGACCGAACCAGCGGATAAAGGCCTCGTCCGCAAAACACATCTAGGCCAAAAACGACGCCGCGATGACGACGGCGACCACGGAACCGGCAGAGAAGCCTCTGTTCACGGCTGCACCAGATGGGGCGGGAGCCTCAGCAGACGTAGTCGACTCGGTAGGAGCAGAAGAGGTGACGTCGGAGGATGGGCCGGAGGCGGGAGTGGAGGTGGGTGGTGAGGGTGGAGAGTCGGATGATGGATAGCTGGATGGGGAGGAGGAGGAGGAGGTGGTGGGGGCGGAGGACGGAGAGGTTGATGAAGCCGAGGACTTGGGAGCCTCAGAGGAGGCGGATGGGGTCGCTGCTGGGGTGGCGGATGGGGTCGCTGCTTGTGTGGCGGATGGGGTCGCTGCTGGGGTGGTGGATGGGGTCGCTGCTTGGGTGGAGGATGGGGTCGCTGCTGGGGTGGCGGATGGGGTCGCTGCCGGGGTGGCGGCTGGGGTCGCTGCCGGGGTGGCGGATGGTGTCTTGGCAGCTGCTGCTGGGTTTGATGAGGGTGATGGAGTGGATGATGGTGGTTGGGAGGAGGTGGATGAGGCAACCTTAGCCTTGTCGTCGGCGAAGGCGGAGGCGGCGAGGAGAGCCACTGTCACCATCAACAACGCGAATGAAGAGCGAGCCATTGTGAGTAAGGAGAGAGAACACAGGGTAGAGAGAGAAAGTGGAGATATAGAGAGGGAGGAGGAGGGTTTGTGATTTGGACAAAGACGGTTGAAAGGGAAAGACAGGAGGAGGAATATATATAGTGAGGTTTTGGTTGTATTTCAGTCTGTTGACGTTGATGTCCACCCGTACACGTGTATGGAAAGACCAGGCTTTTGCAAAAAATTATGGGGAAGGTGAAATCCCAGCCGTCCATATTGGTGGCCTGCAAACGCGTTTGTTTTTTCTGGTAAAAATCTTAATTCGATTTACTTTTATTAGCGGAAAATTTCTGTGTTTTGCTTGGATTTTCTATTTTTTACATATATATATAGAATATCTTTCATTTTTAACCTCTGAATTATTAATTTGGTAATTGTGTTTTGTAGGAGCATTATCCGTGCTCTTTAAGGTAAATATTTCCCATTTTCAAGTAGGGTATATTGAAAAGCGCAAATGTCGTTTTATATAAGTGTTTTTTCATCGTAAACAAAAGGAAAATAAATAATTTAAATATGAATGAATAAGGTTAATCATGTCAATCCCTGGTGGACAGAATTTACCCTATGGATCTAAGGTCAGGTCCAACCTTTTCATACAACTAATTACTTTACTTAATTACAAGTGGTAAATTGGCGTTTGAGATTATATGTTGGAAACCTTGAATTTAAGGTCTAAGTTAGAGATCGGAGCCTAAGATCTAAGCTTAAGTGTAGATTTAAATATGATTCAAAGTTCGAAATCTAGGATTACTCATATTACTTGCAAACTGACGATATGTTGAAAAACTTACGACTCGAAAAAAAAAATCAATTGGATTGAAGTCGTTAACCCTACTTTGTTCACATTTTAATTTTTTTTTTCCTTTTGTTTACAATGAAAAAACACTACCCTCATTAATATTGCAAAATTGTCTTTGGTTGAGCCTGCTCCTTTTTTATCCAATACGACAACATTCTAATTTAATGTGTTAGAGATTTGAGCAATACAGGGAGACAAACCTCAAATTATGTGAGTCAAACTTAAAATCTTTCACTTATAAAAAGAGAAAAATATTATTAGACTGTAACATACTAGTGGCAATCGATGTCATTTTAAATTGTTTATAACAAAGAATACGAGAGAAATAAAAGATCATTATGCATGACACATGCTGAATACACAAATCATTGAGGCTAACTCAAGAATGTGAAGAGATTTATACCTAGCATCTTGTATCAAATAATTATATTCTTCAGCTCTACTATCTTCCTTATGGATCCCTAGGCGTTATCATAACCTCCACGTCCATGGTCAGCGTCGACGTTACCCTCCTCTATCACTCCCGTAGCTCTGATTCAAGTCTCCATGCGCCATCCACATTCAGTTGGTACGGTACTTTGGGTGTACCTAATGGCCCCGTCCTCGACACTATGTGATGGTGGTGGCCCGTTTGTGTTTTCTTTGTTGCCCCTGCCCAAGCATGATAATGTGTTACAGGCATTCCAACTGCTTTTTTTTTTTTTTTTTTTTTCTTTTTCGCTTTGAGTGGCCAACATCATCCTATGTTCGAGCAGATAATCCACATTTGGAGTGTCAAATCACACTAATTAACATTTAGATTAGGCTATTAAAACACCGTACCTAGGTCAATATATTGTCCCATGGGCCATGCATGGATATATTATTTAGATCTTACCCATCTCAGAGCATGCATGCATGTTGGCTAATTGTGCACGATAAGAGCAGCGGGAAAACAGTGTTATTTTGGCAGACACTTTTAATTAGAATTGATAAACAAATACGTAAAATGTGAAACCCTTTTAATTTTTGTTAATATTATGGTTTGTAGTTCAGCTGAGGTACTAACATTCTTTGATAAGTTAGTTACTTCAATCCAAATTGTGAGGAAACGATAGGAAATTATGTAAGTTACAATTAATACGCTGTTATTATTATTATTATTATTATTATTATTATTATTATTACTATTATTATTATTATTATTATTATTTATTTATTTATTTAGAAAACTAAAGAATAACATAACCAGGCTGAAGCCAAAAGAGTTACAAAATGCCACCACAGGCCAACAACACTAGGCATAATGAGAAAGAGGTAGATACAATCACACAGAGGCTTCCCCAAGTCACCTTAATCCCATCAAAACATAAAATTAGGATGCAAGGCATGGGAGGCCATCCTTGTTTAGAACTCGAACAAATGAAGATGGGGGTCGTTGAACCCAAACTAAGTCGCTCATCTCCGCACCCACATGCGACGCCACAAATGTAACATTTCACATCGACCAACGAAGAGGTGGTGATGTGCCTTATATGTACATGTCCACCTCCATTTAGCACGAGGCTTTTTGGGAACTCACTAGCTTCAGGTTCCATCGAAACTCCGAAGTTAAGCGAGTTTGGGGCTAGAGTAATCCTAGGATGGGTGACCCACTGAGAAGTTCTTGTCTGAGTTCCCAGAAACAAAACCATGAGGGCGTGGCCAGGACCCAAAGCAGACAATATCGTGCTACGGCGGAATCGAGACTGGGATGTGACAGAATGGTATCAGAGTCACTTTGCCGTGTGGTGCGAGTGTACCGACGAGGACGTCGGGCCCCTAAGGGGGATGGATTGTAATATTCCACATCGACCAATAGAGATGGGGTGATGTGCCTTATATGTACATGCCCACCTCCATATAGCACGATGCCTTTTAGAAACTCATTGGCTTCGGGTTCTATCGAAACTCCGAAGTTAAGCGAGTTTGGGACGAGAGCAATCCTAGGATGGGTGACCCACTGGGAAGTTCTCATCTGAGTTCCCAGAAACAAAACCGTGAGGGCATGGTCGGGGCCCAATGCGAACAATATCGTGCTACGGCGGAGCCGGTCTGGGATGTGACAACAAAATTTGCCGCTCCATTGCTAGTTCTTGGCACCCAAAACCAGATACACGACCTGAAATCCATACCCGGTTTGCGAATCTCATACAGGGTCGAGTAAACCTCCCAGTTTCTTTGATCAATGCTCCCATTCAACCAAGAAATGAGTTCATTCGAGTTCGACTCTACCACGATATTCTCGAAACCTCGTTGCTTAGTCATCACACATCCCTCCAAAATCCCATTTGCCTCAGTTGCCAACACACTAAGAGCCCATATTTCCTTCATTCTCACATATAGCCAAGTATCGGCATGCAGAGTCCCGAATAACAACTTTGATATGGCAGCCCTCGTTTAATCCCTTCCAACTGGCAGCCCCACATTCATTTTAACCACACCATTCGCCGGTGGAAACCACCCAGAAGAACCATTGGGTCTCTCATTCACCATTATTCGCGTATTTCCAAGATCTGAACAGACCTCGAGGAAGGAAGAGGCGGCCATGGAAACAACAAGAATGATTCTCTCCGGGGATGGTTGTCTAGAATTGAAGACCACCTCACATCTTGCTTTCCATATGGACCAAAACGTAAATGCAATATAGGCCAATGTTTTCCTCCTATCCTCATTATGCCCTGGATAATTGTTCCATACACCTTCGAGCCACGCAAATAGAGTTGTTACTGCGGGCTTCACAATTCTCAATCCTAAAGCACCCCCAAACCAAACATGATCCACCCATGGGCATAGGAGCAAGACATGCTCAATGGACTCCTCTTGATCATAGCAAATGGGGAATAATGGGGAAGGAGCACACCTGCGATGGAAGAGGTTCACCTTCGTAGCTATGGCCCCGCGCATTGCACTTCATATAAAATGTCTAATTTTTGTTTTGGGGGGGGGGTACGCATGGACCATAGTTTTTTCCAGATACCCGAGTCAATAACCATAGAGGAGGAAGGTTAGAGAGCATGCATCCGACGGTTCAAGTCATAGGTCCAATGAGACCTCAATTTAACCGTATACCAGCCCCTCCGATCATACAGCCAAATCAGACGATCCATTTGCTCGAGGGCACCGATCAGGATATCCAGAACTACCAATCTATCACTTTCAGCCACCTTCCCATCAACTTCCTCCACTTGCCATGTTTGAGACTAAAAGTCAATTAAAGAGAACACCTGCATTGTGGGGTCCGTCACAACTCTCAGAGCTTGACATGAGAATGCACAGTGACAATGTACTCAAGCAATAAATATTGTTATGCACATAAAAGGCCGAAGAAAGTACATGCTTAAGAAGGATTTGGGGTATGTCTAAAAAAGAATAGAAGAATTAAGACTCAAATAAACAAATTGATTTCATTTAAATAAGGGTTAGGAACTTATTTAATTAATTATTTGTACGCTTTCCTTGAACACACATATATAAACTTCAACTAGATTCGGAAGTGCCTGATTAGGGTTATGGTGTGGAATTAATTTAATTTCTAATTGAAGCAAAAGTTGATATCGCGTGAACCAAAAACATGGCTGGTTTGATATGCATAAATGTGAATTTTACTGACGAAGATGAATGGAAACACAGAAAGAGTCGTGGAGTTAACAACCTGTGCAAATGGGAAATGTTGAAACCTTTTGTTTTTATTGTGGGGATATGGAGAGAAACTTCCCCGTGGCTCCCAAAATTACTCTATTTATATCTGATGTAATTATCTCACTTGTTACGTAATTGACTCTCTCTTATACATTTAATCTCTAGAAAAGGAAAGTACGTGAGATAGACGATGAATGATGAATGAAGAATGGTGTGGTAGGAAGGAGAGGAAGAAATAAAGTTGAATGAACAGGGTGATTTACTAAGTCGTACGGGTTGTGAACTACTCATAAAACGGTGGCTCAAGCCCTGCCTATGTATTCTATGCAATGCTTTCTTCTTCCCAAATCTTTGTGTGAGGAGCTAAATAGGATGTTAGCAAAGTTTTGGTGGAGTGGTGATACGGGCAGGCAGAAAATACATGGCTCAATTGGAAACAGTTGTGTAAGCCAAAGTATGAGTGGGGATTAGGTTTTCATGATCTCTATGCTTTTAATTTGTCATTGTTGGCTAAACAAGC